CAATAAATCTTTTGCACTTCAGTCTCTGTCAGCATAGTCAATTAAATAAAAAATTTGCAAAGCCTCTGTAGAATGTTTTCCAACGAACCTTGATGATAGTGCAGGATAATAGAAGTAATGTAGTCCTCTAATACAGCAGTAGTAATTGTTACTTTCTTTTGCACCAATTCATTAGATGCTATTAGCATTGCAATGAGGAAAAAAAATGGTGTGCTCTCTTTTGGCTTTAAGCTTATTTAGAAATCCAATAAAAACCAAACCAAAACAACTTTTTATTGATCATTCATTTGATTCCAGGTGGTAGGACTAGGACCTTTAGCAGAGGGAATTCAGTAATTGTTACATGCTTTCTTTAATTAAAAATTAAAATTAGTTTAAATAATATCAATAGCTTAGAAAAGTTATGAGATAAATAGCCTTCACTCCAGAAAAAAATTTGAAGATGTTTGGAGAAAACTTCTCCCTGTACAAAACACAGAAAGTCAAATTTGTAAGCCAAGCTTGAGTGTGGTACACCATTTGCCAAGAAGCGAGGTGAAGACAAGCAAAGAAATCTCTTGGAAAAGCTATACTACCATTTTCATACATTTTGTCAAGGCTAATAAAAGGTGCATGGAGTATGGCTGAAGTAACCTGGTGTAACAAGGAACTGTGATGAAAATTAGTAAATTATATTGTTGAAATTGTTTACATTAATATAATTTCTCCTTTTATGGCATTTTCCATATGAAAGATCAGGACCTGTATGATACTTAATAGCTAGATAGTTACATAACACAAATTTATCTGTTATTCAGTGTACTTAACTAAGAATTAGGATGGTATGCCACAACACACTGAAGAGTTCAAAATGCTTTGGAAAACAGCAGGAATATTTTTAATACCAGTAGTTGGTGAAAGACAATGAACTGAGAATATAAAATTCACTTAGAAGTTGTAGTGGATTTTTTTCTCTCGATCATTTCAAGTGAAATTTCCCAACATTACCAGTTTTATGACAGCATTTACTGTCAGCAATTATTTCTGTAATAAAAGCAGTAAGTGGATTACAATTTCTTACTGAGCACCATCAGTCAGTCAAGTCATGAGTGTTGAGCTACTGGTGGTGGCTTTTACTTCAACATTAAATGAATATTAGCTATCCATCATGAATAAGACAATTTCATCACGTGAATGATCAGTGGTGCTCAAAATCCTAATTTTCAAATGTTTGAGGTGTTTGATTGTATCTAAAACTCATATTTTAATGAAACCATTTTTTGTTATTTCACATTGCAAGAAAATAAACCAGTACTTAATTTATTCTCTAAGTAGATACTGCAGTATTTGTTGCTTCCTACAAGGATATAGATAACACACAGTTTTGGGAAAGTATTCATTAGCAACATTTTATGTGCATGGAAAGGTGCTATTTTGCTCATGAATACCCTTGTGATACTGAATATGTGAAGACTTTCTTTAAAGAATTCCCTATTAAAGAAACATTGAGATGTATAATCTCCAAACCACCAGTAACAAAAATGGAAATATAAATTTTTCCAAGAGTTCCCCCTTAATTGTGAAGTGTTGATAACATTCTAACAATAGAAGCTGGGCATTGATAATTTCCAGTATCCTTGACCCCATCTTAATCCCTTTTTGAGTACAAAATGAACACGTTCTGATTGCAGTGGTCCATGTTAGTACAAGCAGCATGTAGTCACAGTGCTCTAAAAGACATAATAATTTCTAAGTCTAGTATTGCCTCTGTAAACCTGATGATGAGCTAGAGGAGAAGCAGGGCAACAGTGCTTCAGTTAACACTGACCCAGGAGAGACACAGCTGGGAGTGGTTTCAGAGCTTCTCTCTTTGTCATTACTACCTTGGATAGTGACAAACTGGCTAGCACCCCTATAGGGTTTATAAATTCTGCAAATATCAAGCAGAAGCTCAAATTTCTATTTTATTTTTTTAGAGGACAGAAAAGTATGTTTTAATAATTCAATCTTTATTTATCTCCATTTGAAAACACTGGTGAGAGGAAAGAAGGAAGTGAAGAGAATGGGTGGGTGCTAGCTGAAGTGGTAAGACCAGATAGAAGTACTCCAATACTTCTGTAAAAGAAGTAATTTGAAAAACGTGGAATTTTGCTCTGCAGTTACCTATGGGATCCTCCACATTTGTCTCTGGAGGGCAGTACTCTTCTTATTCAAGTGATTAATTCAACAAATGTGACAGAATTTTAAGCCAATGAAGTTTCATATTTTCAGAGTATTACTAAGCCTGATATATTATAGAGGCTTCAGGCGAGTACTACAAATTAAATAATATTCATTTGTAGCTCAAATATGAGCTGAACAATCCAAGTTTCAATGAAGACAGCAGAAAAACCTCCTGGTGATTTTAGTTGGAGGACTGTCAAACCAATATGACCTAAGCTCAGAAAATAAAGCCATTAATAGCACCAGGGTATTTCAGCAAGTATAACATGACAAATGAAAATTTTGATGAATAATGCTTTAAACCCTTCTTTAGTCTTGAACTTAACATTCTTCCATATAGATCTTTACTTTGAAAAATTACAGAAGGAAAATTAAATTGCTAGTGTTTACACTCACACACATTAATAGGTGCTACTTTCTCCTTTATCCTTCATTTAAATAACAAATAATCCATTGGTGTGCAAAATTACATTTTATTGTTCAAATTCTTAACATTTTTGATTCACAAAAAGAAGTAATAAAGGATGTTTTAACTGGAAATGTAATTTGTTAGAAAAATTACATCTATATGACTTGTTTGCTGAAGAATAATTTATTTTTAAAAAATGACCAATCATTATTCTTGAGTATGTAATTAAAAATACAAAGTTTTTCCTCTGTTATAGATTTTTACACTTTAATTAGTATCAATACATTATATTTTAAAATTTTGGTCTGTATCTGACAAAGGTAAGATTAGGTACATGTTAAGTAAGTCTAGTAACAGAAATATATGATACAGATGAATGTAATTTTATTCTCAATGCTGTTTCCAAGAAGAAAATAAACTCTATTATTCATTCTAATGATGGTTTTAGAATCTATTGCTTTATTTAGAAGTACAAATAAAATAAGATAACATATATTTTCAGGAGGACTTGAGTGTAATTAACTAGAATCTATTGCATGAACTTTTCCATTCATTTGCCTTCTTACTACCTGAGAACAGTCAGCCAAAATACATGTATTTCTATTCCTGCAAAATGACTACTTTAAAACTAATTAAAAAATATTTTTGCTTTTTCCTTGTGTCTTGCTTAATAAAGTTGAAGACTGTTAAACTGCTAAAGCTGAGTGAGAGCTTAAAGAAATTAAAAACGTGAAGAGAGAAAAGTCTCTAATTAAAAGAGTTGTTTTAACATTAACCCAATCAGAAATATTCAATATCAGAATAATAGAAAGAACCCCTAGAACTATACTTTCTAAATAAATAGCTTATTTATCTTTATTCAAAAGCTCCGTTTTTACCAGTTAGAATTTAAATTTTCTAACAGCTTTAAAAAGAGATTGATGAAAATTTTAAATCATGCAAAACTCACCTGCCTTGGATTTTGCCTGGAGTGCTCCAGGTTTTGTGGGTTTTTTGTAAGTTTTTGTCCTAATGTTTGTTATTTCAGTACAGTTTCATGGTTTATTTTGGTTTTTTTTTTTTTTTTGCCAAGAATTTAGTGCAACTAGGTCTCAAAGATTTTTTTTTTTTTAACTGGTGGACTTTTGTGCTTGTCAGAAGTCAGAGTAAAATCAAGAGGATTTCAAGCTGTGCAATAATGTCATACAGAAATGAAAGGCTCCTAAACACCTAAAACCCGAAGTCACTGTTATCCATACAAGTGTAAACCTAAAAAAATATTTTGGATGCCACCCATGGTCCTCTGTCTGAAGTAAGCAGATCAGTAACTCAACTGATAGAATGCAACAGAAACTGCAGAAGTATCTTTATCCTTCAAACCTTGTTTAGAGTGTGTTAAGTGTTCAATTAGTGATGTTATTTTGTGATCAATGGATGATGAAGAGTAGCTGTATTATCTAGGAACTACTTTGGAAAAAATTTCAGTCAGTGTAGCACCATCTCCTATTGATACATAAAAAAGATACTGCACAGAAGCTATCCTAGGGTTTATGCTTCGTTTAATCTGCTCCTGTGGTACAGTGGAGAAGAGGCAATGGGAAGAGCACTAACTGTGCTAAATGCCTCCTCTCATTCTTGTGCTATCCAACTGGTAAAATAATAACTGCTGCTGTTGTTTCCTACTCCAGCTGCAAATCAAGGCAGTCAAGTAAATGTTAAGATCTGTCCCCTTTTAGGTTCAGTAATTATATAGTGCTAAGGAGAATTGAGAATTTTCAGCATGCTTCTGAAATGCAGGGAGTCTTTGCTCACTGCTCCAAGTGGGAGGTTACATGAAATTGAACTTAGTGGGTGCAAAATACCTTTCATCTCGGTCAGCTCAGCTTGTCATCAGTAGAGCCCTGCACCAGCCTGGGAGTGTCAAAGCCCAGGCTTTAGCTTTGTTGTCCATGTAGCTGCACTATGGTTCTTACATACTTGACTTATTTTAAACTTCCTGGGTAAAAGGAGAGAGTTGGCTTTGTATGTCAATATATTTCTCTGTATATGGTTGTGATGAATGTATTGCACTGGACTAAACTCAGTGCATTAATGCATAAAGAATACAATCTATACAGAAAAGCTATGCTTTTACAATTGAAAGGTCAATAAATGCAAAGAAGCTTCCTCCTGGTATGTTTAAACTCCATAAGAAATAGAAATTGTGTGCTTACATTGTTAGCTTTGGGTTTATATTCAGATTTTGAACGGTATGTAGTACTTTGTATTGTAGCAAATACTTACATGAATATGATTGCTCTTGTGCTTTATATTATAAATTAATTGGTATCTATATAACTGATTCTAAGTAGATTTTTGAATTCATTGTGACTGAACAGAGGAAAAGTTAAAAAACACTCAAAAATATCTATAGAGTAATAAATTAAGCACTTTAATTATACTTATGTATAGAAGACAGCAGATAAGATAGCTAATCAGATTGCAATGTTGTTTTTATTTTTTTTTCAAAAATGGAAAGTATTAGTCCTCACTTAAAAATATATCAAAAATAAATCCCCATGGAACTACCTGCAGAAATATCTTTCATAAACTGGAAAAACTGTCTTCTTAATTCATATAAAGAATCAAACTTAATTAATTAAGTTAGATTAATCCCCTCTTTATCATGTTAATAGTAATTTCAGTAGAATTAGATTATGGAGTTGTTCCATTATTTACAAAAGGCACTCAACAAAAAAAGACTATTGGTTGTTAATTTCTTTCTGCAGTAGTATTTCAGAATACATATTGAATGTCTTAGTTTTACTGTCCCTTATTTGCAATGTCAAAGAAGTTTGTGTAATGTAAAAAACATTCTACAAACAGATTGCGTGATACCTATATGGGTATATTATTACAATATTTTCTTTTTCTAGCATTTGATGTCACTCAACTAATAAAATATTCTATATTTATTCAGTCCTCTAATTTTGAAAACACTCATTTTTTTCTTTTTAATAATTCATGCTTTCTGTTGAAAGATCATCATTCTGTTACAGAATGATGATCTGCTGAATTCCTTTTACATTGCTAGCAGCAGGAATGTGCTTCTGTCTTATGAGTCAGATGTGATACAAAAATTTATATGAACAGCTAGTGACTCTGCACTGTATCTGAAATTCAATCTTATTGGACTTAAAAGACCTCAGTGAATATGTAAAATATGGTACAGTTTCTTAAGTGCAATTGCACTGAAATACAACAGGACTAATATCAATGCTGAAGTCAGTGGTGAATTCCACCAAACAAAATGTAGTCATCTATGTTCAGGTATTACCATTGTTTCTTTTGTTGTAGAGATGATGCAAGTTATTTCCTCTTATTTTACCACCATTTATAAGGTCTGTAAACTATTAAAAAAGGATCTTCTCTGACATGAAGTTGGGGGATACTGTTAGCTTCTTAATTAAATAGCTGAATGATTTCTTTCTAATCAATTTTAAACTTATACTGGTTATTGCCTTAATATACTGTTGTCTCCTTCAATGATATGTTTTCATCTCAATTTTTATTTTTTTTCTATTGCAGTTAGGTAATATATTTCCCTTATATTTTTGGCCAAAAGTACTGTGTGTCATTATTATGCCAGAAAATGAAGGTAAAAAATAAGAGGATCCCCATTATTTTTCTGAATGTCAGAACTACTTATTTTTAGTGCAATACTGTAACAATTGTCTGTTAAGAATTGTAGTGCTGTTCTGAAGGAGTAAGTGATACGGCAGTTTATCTAGTGCACTGTGAATACTAGCACCATCAGCTGAAGAGAGCCTTGAAAATATTATCAAAACCTTTGTAAACAAATCTACAAAAGCAAAAGGAATTGTTATTTTTTGAGAGAAATTCTTTCTATTATTCTAAGTACTTCTTGAAAGCAAGGACATGCTTTTAAAAAAGTATTTGAAAGGTTAAGAATAACATAAAATGGCATTCTCTTACAAGGTAAAATGCTACATTTTATTTTATGAATCTTTGTGCATTTTTGTATCATGTACACAGGAAGCTCTGGTAAGGCCAGGCTCTCAAGCTGGGTGTGGCTGGAGAGGTAGTAATATTTGAGCCTCAACTCACCAAGGAGTTCCCAGTTTTTTGTGAGGAGGCTCAGGTACGTTCTAGGAAAATGGAAAGAAAGGTAGTTTTTAAAATAATTTTCAGTTACAATTCTCAAATGTAGACTGTTCTATTGCTATTGAGTCATCACCATACTTAGTGCTTCTGAGGATTCTGTGTGAAATAAGCTAGGCAAGTAAGAAAAAACTTGTGTTGACTTCATATATAAAATACTGACAAAAAAGTATTATACACTTCTCTTTTTATTGGTCTGTTTCTTTGTTTTTTAGATAACACCACTAGCTCCCATTTATATATTGTATTTTGCAGGGAAGTATAAATATTTTGTGTAAATGTTGTTTATGCCTGGTCGTAGCATGATGGTGTATAAAAAGCTGGTAATATAAATGTTTTTTTTTTTTAATTTAAATACAAAGACTGGTAGGTGAAATGAAATACATATATTTAAGGGTATCTGAACATATTTATACTTTTTTACATGTATTTTATACATGGCCTTTTTACTGTGCCTTGTCTTGTGCCGTATGGTTCAGATTCTATTTGTGTGAAATAGAAGGTTGCTAATATTCTAGTTGTGGTTTTTTGACAAAGTTTTTGAAAAACACTTTGTAAATGCAGAACCACATTATCTTTAATACTGTAAAATGGGCATTCAAATGAAATACACCAATGCTGTTATTAAAAAAAGAGACTACTTTTATGAAGTTCATTGGCATGAAAGTACAGTAAGGTTCCTGCACAAGAAAAAGCCACACAAATACAATCCACTAGAAATAGAAAAATAATAATAAAACAAAAAAACAACAAAAACCAGTCAACCAACAACAAAAACCAAAAAAAAAAAAGAGTTCATGTAGATTTCACAATTAATTCTAATGCAGTACTTCAGCTTCTACTTGTGCAAGGATTGACATTTTATTGTACAGGCCTTGTACTTCCGCTGTACTTTCTGTGTTTCTCAGAGACAATTTGTTTTTATTTAAAATGCTAATATGCTTTGATTACCTGTCTAATTGAAATTGGTGTCTAAAACATTAGGCTAACTCTGAAAATATGAGATTGAATGGGGAATACCAAACTCAAATATAAGTTCATTGCCAAAATGAAATGCCAGTGTCAAACCAAAGGGCATCCATGAGGCTGCCAGTTGTTATCTGTGGAAAGTGATGGTAATTAAGGGAAATCCCCGTCAGCTGGGAAAAGGTCACTGTTACACCCACTCTTAAGAAAGGCAAGAAAAATAATGGAACTACTACAGATTTACTGGTCTCACATGTGTTGCTGGAATGCTGCAAGTGCACTTCTAAATGTATTTTCTAAAAGCAGGAAGATAGATAAGACTACTCAAATTTTTACCAAAGATGTTTAAAATAATGTGTGTTTGACCCGATTGTGTTCCATTATGAAAAGACTGTTTGGGATACAGAACAGTGGGTGTAACACACCTTCAATTTAGTAAGGATTTTAAAATAATCCCTCAAAACGTTGTCATTTTGAAACTGAGGAAGTCTCAGCTGGATGAATGTCAGGTAGAGAATGGTTTTACAGAAGATGGCTTGCAGGTGGAAAATCATACATCACCAGAAGGGGCTGGCACCAGACCCCATGTTGAACTGTAGAGTTTGGCACCCAGACAGGATAACCTGAAGCACAGGCTGGCAAGTGACTGTCTAGATTATGGCCCACTGGAAAGGATCTGGGAGCTTTAGTGGACTGTAGGGTGGGTAACAGCTGAACAGTGCCCTTTTCATCATAAATAAAGCAAACTATGTGCCAAAGTAACTGCAGGCAGTGGATGAATGGGAATGCTGGGAACCCAGAAGAGGCTACCAGGATGGCCAAGGGCACATGACCAGTGATGAGTGCTTGAGGGGACAGAGCTTGCTGGGTCTGGTGTGGAAGAGGTAAGAGGTAATCTAAAGGCAGCCTGCAGCTATGGGAAGATTAGTTGAAAAGGACAGCAAATTTAAGGTCTTGTCTGTGCTGTTTAATGAGGGGCAAGGGCCCCTGATTGGAAGGTTCAGATTGAAAATTAGGAAAATTTTCTTCATTAGGGATGTGGTGAAGCATCAGAGCAGGTCATCCAAAAAGGCTGATGAATTTCTGTTGAAGAGTTTTGAGATTCAGAGAAAGCTGTAGCTGATGTGATCTAATATTGATGATAACCCCATTACGAACTTGAGGTTAGATTGGACAATCTTATGAAGGCCCTTTCAAATGGCAGTTCTGTGATTCTGTGCAATTATAGCACAACTGACCACAGAAGTTTTGTCTAATTTTTAGGTAGAGGGAACTAGCAATTGTGAAATACAGTCCCCTTGCAATATCTGTCTAGAGGTTAACAAGGATTTCTCTTCCCAAGTTATTTCTCTTCTCTGAGTTTTTCACAGAATTGCATCCTATATGCCTATATTCCATTTTGCAATTATCCCCAGTGTTACCTTTTGGGTATAATTCTCTCTTATCTGACTTGAGTATTTCTCTTTTCATTGCCCCATTTTTGTCTCCTGTACATGCTGTCAAAACTGACACAGCTGGGAAAATGGTAGCATCTAAGATGTCTGGCTTGGAAATGGTCTTAGATGTCTGGATAAAAAGCACGAGAACTTGACAAATATGAACTGAAGTTCAAGTTTCCTTCAATGGAAGTACTACTTTGGCTCTTTTGCGGTACTTACAATATTTATTTAAATTTATTATTTTCTGGGGTATTTTTGTTGAAGCTAACAGTTTTTAGGGCAGGAGAGGAGACCTGAAGGGATGGTTGTGGTTACCAGGATTATCTATAAACTCATGACTCAAAGAAACACAGGCTGGGAGTTTTGCCAAACAAAATCTTGTATGTACATGTTTGGAGGGTGAGTCTTAATTTAAGGAGCACTGTATGTTTAGAAAGGAAGGCTGACTTTTAAGATGGAGAACAGAAAAAAGTGCATCAATACATTAAAGAGTTGTCGTAAGTGTACTTTTGCATTAATGAAAAATTAAGTTCAGACAAAAATTTATGAGGATTAAAATGATTGTAGACCTGTCATGGAAAGGGAAGATTAAAATGATTGTAGACCTGTCATGGATTGGCAAGAACAATTTTCTGATTGAGGAAGTAGAAGTTGTTCATGAAGCTAATCAGAGCAGTCTAACAAGTAGGTGAACACTGATTAGAAGAAAATGTATGTTTTTCTAAAAATACTGTAGGTGAGATATTTTTGCAATGCTTTCTTAGTACTGATTAGTACTGCTGAGTACTGATACTCTGGCAAACAGAAGGACCAAGCAAATTCATATTAGTAGTTTTCAAATGAACACTTGCATGTGTCCTTTTCATATTTTATCAGGAAGGTGGAGATTATAATTTTGACCTGAATAACAACTACTAGATTTTGGAATATTACCACGCAGAACAAATAGCAATGTTAAAAAAAAAAAAAAAAGTAACTTAATAAAATGCAATTCCCTTCCAGTGTGAATTATTGCTTGTACATGAGCACAAAAGAATTTGAAATGTAAAACTAATTTAAAAGATCTCTTTAGTATGAAGCTCCTGTTCTGCAGATTTTAACCTTAAATCATTTTTTCCCGCGGCAGTTACAAAGTCCTGAAGCCAGTGGTATGTCATATAAAAGCGTCTCTGTAGCAGAAGACTCAGCATCGCTATAATTAAACCTTCCTCGCCTTGATTTGCAGCCAGTCTTACTCCTTGCAGGGAGGGAGCTTACTCATCGGTGAAGACAAGACCAGGGGAAGGTTTCAAGTTGGGAAAGACGATTTCTGAACCTGATGTGGACTGGAAGCACGATATAGGGAATAAGGGGTGGTGGAAGGGGGCTGTTTAAGTAATGAGAACCCACCTCAAAGTTGTCGGTGAACAGGGGCGTGAGCAACTTTGCCACCTGCCGTCGTCCGGCAGTGAGAGTCCCTCTGGAGGGAGTCCTGTCCGACCAGCAGCCACGGCCTCTGGAAGACAGGCGCGCCTCAGCATCAGCGGCACTGAACCCCTCCGCATTCACTCCCGGTCACATTGCCACCACCGCGCCCTGTCGGCATCCTCGTCGCGCCCTCTCCCACCTCCCGCACACCACAGCGCTCCCTGCCCACCGCCCCCTGTCGGGTCTGCTCTCCCCCTGGCTTTAAATATTTCCGAGCGGGATGCCGGCCCCTCCTTTCCTCCTCCCCCTCTCCCCGCCTCCCCTCCCGCGGAGCAGTCAAGACCCGGCGGCGCGGCTGCCCCAGCCGCTCCCACAGTCGGGCGAGGGGTGGCGCGGCAGGAGCTGTCCAACTTTTCAGCACAGTTTCTCGCCGCTGCCCGCAGGAAGGCGGCAGCCGCCGCCCCTGCCCGCCCGCCCGGCGCGGCCCGACCGCCGGCAGCATGGAGGCAGAGAGCAGCAGCGGCTTGACCGCGATGCCCAGCGGCAGCGACGGCGGCAGCGACGGTAGCGGGGATCTCAAAGCCCCGAAACATCTATGGCGGCAAGATCAGCACTACCCACCGCAGCTGCGACAGCACCAGTTCCTCCAGCACCAGCAGCACCCCGGGCAGCCGCCGCCGTCTCCCGTCTCGCGGGGCCGCTGCCTGGCCGGGGCTCGCGTCAGGCACCGCGGCTACTCCGACACGGAGCGGTACCTCTACTGCCAAGCCATGGACCGCGCCTCCTACGCCGTGGAGACCGGCCACCGACCCGGCTTGAAAAAATCGCGGATGTCCTGGCCGTCCTCCTTCCAGGGACTCAGACGGTAGGAGAGGGCTTGGCCCAGCGCTCCGGCCGCGCGTGTGGGGGTGCGGCGGAGGAGCGCCGCTCCCGGCCGCGGGGACGGGATTCATCGGCAGCCGCTGAGGGGCGGGCATCACGGGACCCCCGTCCTGCCGGCCTCGCTTCTCTCGGTGGCAAGGATAAGGAAGGGGCACCCTGCGGTTGCGGAGGCTGCGCAAGGGAGGTGGGCTCGGGCAGCGCTGCCGCGCCGGGGCCCCGCACCCCGGGCTGGGACGCTGCAAGGAACCCCCGGTCAGGGCTCGCCTGAGGCGGGCGTGACGGGGGCACGGGCGGCGCCGCGTCGTCCCATACACGCCTGTCTGTGGGTGGAAAAGCGGGCACGAAACACGTGGGTGGGAGCGGGACGGAGCCGTGAGCGGGGCGGGCAGCGGGGCCGTGCTTCCCCTGCGCCCGGCGCGCTCCGCTGCCTCCCCGTCTGCCCCTCCTCGCTCCAGTGCCCGCGCTCCCCGGGAACGCTCCGCGCTGCTGCCGAGCGGGAAGGACGCAATTTGTGTGATGTTTTCACAAAGTTAAAATAATGAGAGCTCTGGGGGGTGGGAGACGGTCTGGCAAATCCAGGTTTAGGGTCTTGTTAAAGAGAATGGGCTTAGTTGAGAAAATAGGCTAATGGTTTCTTAGCCAGAGGGAGGACTCCGTCATCTACTAGTCTATTGTTCCCCTTTAAATGAGCTGTGGATTTATTTTTCAGTGTGTAGCTTACCAATGCCTATTTTACCCTTGATGACTGTAACAGGCATCTGTTTTAAAATCAAATTCTCTGTCAAAATCAGAAAGATGTTGAATCTGAAAGATCAATTTATTATTCGGACTTCGTGTTTCGTAGCTGGAACCACTTCCTTTTAGTAGAAAGACACATGCTTGCACTTGAATTTTAAGCAGACATTGTGAATAAAGGATTTATGGAGAGAATGGTGGGCAGAGGGACAATACTTGGTACTGAGGGACTCTGTAGATTTTTGCTTTCCCAGATAATCAGATTTTTATAGTGTGATTTGCTTGATGAATAAATAATAGAATCCTTTCTGAACGAAGATTGCTTTGTGTGTTTCTCTGGTACACACCGCATTCTTTATTATGGAGCCTTGGCCATAAATCTGAAAAAGACATACTTGAATATTCTCTGGCAGTGTTATCTCTATTTCTACCTAACAGTAAGTTCATTTCCACTTCATATATAATTAAGAAATAAAAAGAGATTCAGCAATTGTAAATTAGAACTGTATTTTCAAATATGTAATCTTTATATATGTCTTTTAATATATTTGGTTTCCACACGGCTCTTCTGTTGCTACACATTTGTATCCCTTCTGGGAACTCATTCTTGTCTGAAGTTAATGATAAATTTTTCACTACGTAAGATTTGAAAGAACAAATAATAAGCTTCAAAAATTAATAAATGTTAAATTGAAAGCTTTTCCCAATACATTCCTGTTTCTTTTATATAAAAAACCCTCTAGTGGTCTAGTATTTTTTTGACCTTTAAAACTGAGTGCTGAATTTCTGTTTTCTAATTGCAAAAATATTTAATTTTTATAAATCATAATGATTGGCTTGAATATATTCAGTATTAAGTGATTAGTGATAAGTGATTGGTTACTGAGAGGATACTAAGTCAAGGTGGAAAGGAGAGTACATGTACTATTTCTTTTATTAAGATTTCAGGACCATTTTAAATTACAATCCATATGACACCTCTTTAAACGGGAATGTAAACTTCAATATGAAAAGTATTTTTGTTTTTTAAGTCTTCATTCTTAGAATAAAAATGTTTTGACAGGACATGCTGCTTAACTGAAGTTGCTGGATTTTATTTTAATTTTATGGGATTAGTAAAAATGCTTAAGATGCGCTTCCCTTTTGGAAGTAGTAAAGCAAAGCACAGTAAAGAAGTTCAATATAATTCACCATCAAATAACTTTCTTAGAATAAAGTCTCACAGTAAAACTTGTTGAATGAAGCCAGTAACTATAGTATGGAAATGCAAAGCAAACTGTAAAAAATTGCTTTACAAATATATTCAAGAAATATCAGAAAAAGGATGATCTTTCAAGGACTTTCATGTCAAGGTTTCAGTCAATTACTAATTTTTTCCTCCCTTTTTTTGTATAAAAAGCAAAGAAAAATATCTTATTATTCTTGTAAAAGCAGTGACTTGCAAAAAACCCCACAATTTTTGTGAAAGACACCTGTACTTTTAGAAGACTTGCAGTTCCCTTTTCAAATTTAGATATTTTTATATTTCTCCCCTATTTAAACTGTTTTCAAAAGAACATTTCTGAATGGATTCCTTTGGATTTATTGTGGTACAAGTAACCAGCTTGTATTTCTGAAGACCTCAAATTACTCTGAATATGGTGGATAAAACTCTCTAGAACTGGGAAAAATTGTGTATAAAAGTATAGAAAATGCATCAAAAGATAGGGGTAGTATGTCTCAAATGTAAAAAATTAAATCTATGTAATTGTTTTTCTAGAATTTATTTTGTTTCACTCTACACATATCACAGTTCTGAAAACCTCAATGAAAACCATAAAGGACACTTAATAAGCCAAATATACAACTTTGAAGTATTTTCTCTTTTAAGTTTGGTAGTGAACTTAAAAATATGTAACAGCTACATTTTTTAAAATAAATGAGAAGGAGAAATTACATATGCTAAAATTTGAGTTAGAACTGACTAGTACATCTTTATTATTCAAACTGAAGAGACTTAACATTTAAAAGGCAAAATCAGCTAGCAAAGGTTCTAAACTGAATTAGTTAAAAAACAGTATGTGCTTGTAGTTTTTGATATTAAATACTGCTTATAATCATTCCAACGCTTTTGTGATATTAAATACTGCTTATAATCATTCCAATGCTTTCTCTGTCTCTTCATGACCATTACTAACTTTGCACTCAACTTATTTAGAACAGTGCTGTAGTTCCTTCAAGGAATACAGTAGCATTTCATTACACAGAAAGATCTATCAGGATCATTGACTAATGAATTTTACTTAGAAGTTGAGATTATTCCTGCATTTTTAAATGAGAAGGTAAGTGCTTTGAATTGATATACACAAGAGCTGTTCAAAACCCAGGATAGTCAAGAAGATGACTGTGATTATCTGTGATCCAGGGGGTTTAGCCAGTTGCTTAATGTGTGGTCTTGTGCAAGTCATTTAATCTCTCTCTGACAATATTTCCTCTTATGTAAAAGAAAAGCAGAATCAAGGTAATTACAAGTTCATGCTAAAGTGAATTTTTAGATAATTTTATATTCTTAGAATAAAAAGTACTATGAATAAGAAATAGTAGTTGTGAAATTGGGAAAAAATACTTCAAATAATTTTCTAGTCAATAATACAAAATATTCCATGTAATAAATGAAGCTATTCTGGTTATCTTCATAAATTTCAGGTACCTCTTTGCAGATAGCTAGCACTGTTGCATGGTCTATATACACAGGCTAGTTGTTTAAAGAAAACCCCACCTTAGCATTTTTAAAGGCCATTAGTCATATGCCAGCCAAATCATCTTGCCATTTCATCTTTCTATATTCTATTTTTCACTACTGAAATTTCAGACTGGAAAAATTAGATAAAAAACATAATCAGTCCTAATTTCACTAGTTGTGGAATTTCCCAAGATGTTGTATACTTAAAATAAATCTTAGTATCTTAGATTCTTTTTGTCAGGTTTCCCAGGCAATTATTATTGTACAATATGTCCTCTGAAAATTTTATCTCCAGTGTTGTTTTGGCCTAGGATTTCACAAAAATAACTTTTCATCAGTATTTAAACATAAACATCCATGCAATGGTGAGGCAACACTAGGTTTTACTATCCAGAAATCCTTGTGTTTGTCCCCTATTGCTGTCTGTTAAAAAACCTACTTTCATAAGTGGAAAAAAGTTTTAAAAACTACTTTCATTAAAATTAGTTGCTGTCAAAAAAAAATCTATTTTCTATTTCTCCATTTAATGTATGGGACCTGGTCTGACCAAGTAGCATCTATTATGGCATTGTTTACTTATGGAGATTGCTCTAATATACTATTATTTTTCTTGAAGTGTCAATCTTGTCCTTATACCACTTAATAATTACTAATAAACCAGAATAACACTCAAAATTGAATGCAGCATACCATTTTAGTTGCCCAGAGGCTTTATTCTGTATTAGGAGAAGAATGGAGGTTTATGCACTGGTTTCTCAACTTTCTGAAGTCTGGGATATTGCATAAACCTCCATTCTTCTCCTAATACAGAATAAAGCCTCTGGGCAACTAAAATGGTCTTTATCTACATATAGAGCTATAAAAATAATAGCTGCTTTGCAAATCTGTTTGGTTCTCCAATAAAATGCATACCTCTTTCCATCTTAAGCCCCCTTCCTTCCTTCCTTCTGCTTGGTTTGGAAAGCTCCTCTTGATCTGTCTTAGATAATGTCTTAGCTACTTCCACACAAACAAAGAAAAAGGAAGAAGAGTGTTTTCCAACTTACAAGCCCATAAATAGCATTCTCAGAATTTAGTAACAGTTTCTAATTTAGAATTTTGTTGTTTACTTGTCTGGCAGTGTATTATTGATTTGTTTACTACTACGTAGTTCTGGCACCCAAGATGTTAAGATAATTGGCATATGGTATCCCTACCTCAAAGACACAAATAAATTTTACAACTTAGTAAACATTGTATTACTGTTCTTTATAATTGTCTATAGAGATAAACTAAATAAGGAACTTATGTTGTCAATATTTTAAGGAAGTGACTATTAAGGGTGCTATTTTCATGTTTTGAAAGGCTTACATTTTCTGATTGCTGGAGTTATGTGACCTGAACTA